TCTTAGCAAGTCATCCATAGGACAATCTAAAAACAACTCCAAAGATTTTAGCCAGTGGACCGCTCTTATAAGGATTCGATCTAACAAATCTTCCAAAGTTTTTTCCTTGTCAGAAAATATGCATGAGTTTCTTTCTTCCCACAAAGACCAGTAAACCGCTGCCCTAATACACCTCCACATAGTCTTCCCTCGCTTCTTAGGCCAACTGAAAAAAGATGGGGAAAACAAACCTTGGACAGTCTCCGAAGGAACCTCTAATCTCTTTTTTCACTCAATTGCAGTACTTTACATAGCTAATGTAATGTAAAACATATTACATTCCTGATTCTACAAGCCACCTTTATGCCACGCCCCTCAAGGCAAGCCCAAACAAGTCCACATTAGGACTTCATTTCTTAGTTTTCACATAAAAAAATAATGATCTTATAGTTTCAATTGCTTTTTAAGAAGACATTTTATTAGGATGAGAGAATGAAATGCGCCTCGCTTGTGCGCCTAGGCACGCCTTTTAAATCACTGGTGCCTTGTAGAACAATTTTCACTCTCATCCCCAAACCACCATCTTTTTTATCCCAACATACTCAATCCCATTTGAAAACCTTTACACACACCATGGAAAATCTGCTTGCATCTTCTCAACTGAGATTGCAATGGATGATGGAACATTCAGCATGGATAGGTAATAAACTAAATAATTAGACAAGACACTTTTTTGTTAATGTGATTTTGTCCCCAAGAGAAGGATGTTTGCCTTTCCAAGAATCGGCTGCCACATAAATGATGCTGAAGCTTTTTTTATCAATGATGATGCTGAAGTTTTGCACCTATCAGAAGCCTCAAATATGTCAGAGGAAACTCACCAACAAGACAACTCAAGGATGCTGCACACTCCTCCAATAGTAATTGGGATACATTTCCTACTCCAATAATCACACTTTTATTTAGGTTGATTTTCAAACCAGCCAACACTTTGAAACATTTGAGTATGGCCCTCAATCTCAATACCTGATCAACCGATTCCAAAAAAATTAGAATGTCACTTGCAAATTGGAGGTGACTGAGGGAGATTCCTTGATTCCTTCCCTGTCAGTGCCAACTTTAAAGCCTCCCATCAAACCCATATCTGCTCCCTTATTTGCAAACCTACTTAGAACATCTACAACAAGCAAAAAGAGTAGTGGAGAGAGGGGATCACCTTAACTTAAGGCCCTCAATGCCTGAAAGAACTCTGTCAAAACACCATAAACCAGCACTGAGAAGGAGACTGTAGAAACACATGCAAACACCCAACTCCTCCATCTTTTCCCAAAACCCATTCTTTCCAGGACTCCCTCCAAGAATCCCCACTCATGATCAAATCTCAATGTTAATCTTGCAAATGAGACCATCTCTACTGCTCCCTAATCTTGCATCAACACACTCAGACACTATCATCACAGCATCCAAAATATAGGCACTTAATTTTCAGAGCTTGGATTGGCAGAGTAGCTTCTGCATATTCTGCCACTAATTGCTCTGTTTCTTTTGGGTGATCAGATCCTTGAACACATACAATGATAAGTTTTGTCTTTAGAGAAAGATGAAAGTACTGGATTCATTCATATCATCAACAAAAATATCACTCACAAAGCTAACAGACCGCACAATCTCTATTACCATGGGTTAAAAACACAAGAAATCTATATATAGGTATAACTAAAGCTTGAAACTGGAATTTCTAAAAAATGCAGAAATCATGGATAAAAGTATATTGCTTGAGCCAGAAAAAAGTCTACATTCCAAACCAGTGTTTCCTGCATATTACTAACAAATTTAAACTGCCTGTGCATGTCAGGATAGAGAATAGGTGCTTATACAGATGGCAACCCCAAGTAAATGCAAAAACAGCACACAAAATCATACATGATGCACCCACACAACAACCTTGTTAAGGATATTAAAGAAAGCAAACCTTGGAGATAATATGAAACTAAGGTTGATTCTTCGTGAAGCAGGAATAGCACTTATGACCCTACATTTCACAACTTGTCCAACATGATATATCGCAGCCGCTTCACAACCCAACTCTAATCCAAGTTCAGACCTGGTTAGCAAAGGAAATTGATCAATCAATTGACCATTAATTGAATTAGAAAGGGTTAAAAGGAGTAGGACAAGACAAGAGAATCAAACAAAAATTATAATTATCATGAATCCAAGAAATACAAATGTACTTCACACTATAGTTCCATGTTTGAAATCCAGATACCATATGAAAAGAAGATAAAAACATCACTTCTTTCAAGAATACAAATAAATCCATCAGGCCTCAACTTGTAGAAAGTTGACGGTTTCCATCTTGTCAGATGATTGGACAGACAGCAAAAACAAAAGTTTAATCAATGTAACAGATGTACTAGGAGTATTACTCATTAAAAAAAATAGCAGTACTAGGACAATGATGGCTGTTTGTATTAGAGGTTTGGTCGCTCCACAGATGAAAAAGTAGGTTAATCAACAACTTAGCATTCTTTAAAACTATTAGAAACTATGAGAATATATATTGTCTTAAATCAATGAATTATTGACTGATCGTGGATCTGGTTCTAAGATTCAAGGGAGCACCACTCAAAACAAGATCCTGATGCAGGACGTCTGGGAAATTTTATCAAATAGGTACTGTAGTGTAGCAAAAGGTAAGAAATTAATAGAACAAACATAAGGTGGTTTTAAAGATGGATTTTCAACTAGCTTGAATAGAATCTATAAATATTAGAATACTAAAAATAATAATGCTAAGCTTATCAAAAAATACTGCTAATATCAAAACTGTAGAGGGAGAGAGAATATATTGGAAGAACCAAGAAAATAAGGTGAACTAACCAAGTTAGGTAAAAATATTGTGAACTAGTTATAGGAAGCTTTTCCCCAATAGAAGGCTTTCTAGGGCAGTGTATTATGAAAATTAGGTGATGCAATGAACACTAAAGGTCACTATATGGAAATTTGATATCAAAATACAAGACTCCAAGGAATAAGGAATAAATGTTTGTAGTGATTTTCCAGCCTGAAGTATGCAAATCTAATTTTATTACCAATAGGAGCAAATAGCAAGCAATAAACAGATAACTTGCAAACATTTCTGAATTAGATACAATAAAGAATAAACATAGGATTATCCCAAGGCTCTAGGCACCACACTTAAGAGTCAATAAACACTACTAGAAAATTGCAAAACACAATTGTACGCTTGCAACAGCAATAACCAAAATGAACATCCATTCATCTAAAATTATGAAGCTATGTGAAAATATATGAAAATAAATAATATGAGATCAACTGCCCTGACTGAACGGAAAGATATTACTGCTCTACTGCCTAAATACTTTCATCCTTAAACTAAAATCTAGCACAAGAGACTTAAAACAGGCATTAATAAGGATATAGTGGACTGGTCTTTCCTGTTGTGTCTCCTACACAATATTGGACTTGGATTAAGATGGACAAAATGGATCAAAGGTTGTGTTAGCTCAGCACATTTCGCAATATTAATAAATGGAGTGGCTAAGGATTTCTTTCTGGCTGAAAGAGGTTAAGACAAGGAGATCCTCTCCCCCCTTCATTAGTGGCTATGGGGTTCAGTAGACAAATCATTAGGCCTAACCAAGAAAGCCTGGTCACAGGCTGGAGGATTGGTAGATCTGAGGTTGTAGTGACCCACCTGTAATTTGTTGAGGACATTATCATCTATTGTGAAGATTGTGGTGATTCCAGTTTGAGGAATTTGAAGTCTCTAGTTGATAGTTTCCAATGCATCTCAAAGCTAAAAACCAATTGTGGAAAGAGTTGTGTGGTGGGAATTAACCTGGAAGAGATTGACATTCAGAAATTGGCTGAAATACTAGGTTGTGAGGTAAAAAATTGTCTCTTGATTATTTCTTGGGCAAAGCAAATCAATTTGGCACTTTGGAAATTCAGATGTATTTCAGAGAAATTGACCTACTTGAAAAGAGGTTCACTTCAAGTTTTGCTAGGGTAAAGAGGGAAGCAAATGAGTTGACAGATATTCTAGCCAAACCGAGAGCTGAGAGACCCAGTCTCTTCTGGGCAGTTTTGTAACCTGATGCATTTTGATTATCTCCATGATGGAATGCATGTACTAAATCAGAATTCAGAATTTTAATTTAATGAAAACATTTCTTTGCTGCTCAAAAAAAATTAATAAGGACCTAAAAGACACTTTATCATGGCCAAACCCCAGACCAGAAAAAAGAATATTACAGAATATTCATGCTATCTAAGCTGACAAAAAATCACTCTCGCAGCCCAAAATTAACATTTGAGAACTGCAACTTATATTTAAGCCAGTAAAGGGAGAACTTATTATTTCCTTGTCACTTGTGCTTAGAATAAATGACAATCATAAGTTTAGAGTACATGAAAATTGAGGAAGATGACATGCATAGTTGTCAAGGCGACGCCTACGCGCCCAAGCGACTAAGCGGTTTTCCATGGTCACCTTGCCCAAACGCCATTGGTTTTGTATACTAGGCACCCGCCCAGAGACTTAGGCAGGCGCCTTATACATCTAATAAACTTTTTTTTAATTTATTGTTTTGATATTTTTATTGGCAGTTTTATTCTTTCATAATAGAACTGGTTACATGCTATCATTTTATTATTAAGACAATAAACTTTATTCTTTCAAACAAGTTTTCTTTTGTCTTGAGGGTTTTTGTTCGATTAGAGAGGGAGGAGAACCGAAGCCTTCAAGCTCCAACCCAACTCCATCGCACGATTTCAGCTTCAAGAGGTAAGTTCTCCTCCTCTCCTCTCTAGAGTGCTTTTTTTTCGAAAAAACAGGGGCTCTGCCCCTATACTCCTCCCTTTCTCCACTCATTTTCTTCCGCCCCATGACTGTTCTCAGTCAATAGTCGGTCAACTCAGTCCTATTTTTTGTGTTTTTTTCGAAAAAAAAAAAAGGGGCTCCGACCCTATACTCCTCTCCTCCCTTCCTCCACTCATTGTTCTAAGTTTTTAACAGCTGAACCCCACTTTTCTGTTCTTCTTCAACTCTTCTTCTTTTCTTCTTCTCATTGAATAAAATTAGTGTGTTTTGAAATCTTTTATTTTTTATCAGTTTTTTTCAAATATTTTCTATAAATCATTAATATATATGGCTGAAATTTTTTTTATATGGATGAACTAAAAGTCTGAAACTTGATTGTATGGCTGAATTGAAAATCTGAGATTTGATTATATGGCTGAATTTTTTTATTTAATTTCAATTGGTATGTTGCAATATTGCATTTGCTGGTTTGCATTACTACTTGCTTCCATTTAACATTTATTTATTTGCTTTTGTGTACTTATCAAAAAAATTATTATTTGTTATTATTAATTTATTAATTATTGTCAATGTTGATTTGCCCTTGGTCTTGGTCTTTTTCTCTTAGACTCTTACTCATATTTCTCATTATTTAATTTAGGAATAAAATAGATTAACTATTTTCTAGTTTAACATTTTTGTTTGTATTCTAATTTGTTTTATTTGCTGATTGGGTTTTTTTCAATAGAAATAGAGAATGCCAACTGATGACAGAAGTGTCAGTGTTACGTGTAAGGCTCAATCAAAGGACCCTGCATGGCAATATGCATTTTGGCATGATTTGGACAACAAAAATGCAATTTCATGTTCATTATGTCGTAAAGTTGTTAAAGGAGGAATAAAAAGGATAAAACAACATTTGGTTGGAGGATATGGGGATGTTACCAAATGTCCCAAAACTACTGCAAGTATTGCCAAGGAGATGCAAGAATATATGTAGAAGAATAAGAGGAAGAAACCATTGGATGATTTTACAATTGAAGATAACCGTGGGGCATGGGAGCAAATTGTATCCGAAAGGGGTTCCAACAATCAAAGTAATTAAACCATGGAAGTAGGTGTCTCCATTTCAAGTGGTAAGAGCACCCCAACTTCAAATACCCCCTTTCCACCAAAAAGAAGGAAAATGTTAGAGGACCAAATGGATAGTTTTGTGAGACCAAATCAAGAAGAAGTTGTTAAAGTGAGGAATAAAGGACAATTGATTCAAACAAGCATTGAAAGTCGTTTTAAAAAGGAAGAAAGGAAAAAAGTAAATGAATATGTAGCATAGTGGTTTTATCAAGCCGGGATTCCTTTCAATACGGTGAAATTGAAAAGTTCTGAAGTTATGGTTGAAGGAATTCCACAATTTGGATCCGGATACAAGCCTCCAAGTTACCATGAGTTACGAGAGCCATTCTTGAAAGGGGAGGTTGAGAAAACAAAGCAAATGTACAAGGAGTATGAGGCTTCTTGGAAGACTTATGGTTGTACCATCATATCTGATGGAAGGACTGATAAAAGGCAAAGATCTTTGATCAATTTTTTGGTGAATTCTCCTAAAGGGACTTTTTTCTAAATTCAGTTGATGCATCAAATGAAGTCCATAATGCAACTTTCCTGTTTGAGTTGATTGATAAAGTTGTTGAGGAAATAGGGGAGCAACATGTGGTGCAAGTGGTTACTAATAACCACTCCTCTTATGTTGTTGTTGGTGATCTTTTAAGATTGAAGAGTAAGAATTTATTTTGGACTCCTTGTGCTTCTCATTGTCTAGACCTAGGGGTGACCATTCGGTTTATTCGATTAAAAACCGAACCGAATAAACCGCAATTTTAAAAACCGAACTAAAAAAAATAAAAAGTGAACCGAAACCAAAATTTAGAAAAACCGAAATAACCGAAACCAAAATTTTCAGTTCGGTTTTCAGTTATTTCGGTTAAAACCGAATTTTAATAATATATATACTTTATTATATATAATAGTATATGTTATATATTATATACCATAAAATATATAATATGAAATCGAATTTCAGTATATTATATATTAATATATAATATTTTATATGTTACATATTACATATTACATATTATATATTATATATTACATATAATAATAAAAAGTTAGGTTAATTCGGTTAACTGAAATTCAAATTCCAAAAACCGAAACCGAAATCCGAAATAACCAAAAACCAAAATAACCAAACCGATTTAACCAAAAACCGAAACCAAAATTTTCGGTTTGGTTATTAAGTTTCAACCGAATAATGCTCACCCCTATCTAGACCTTATGTTGGAAGACATTGGAGAATTGAGGTCTACAAAAAGTTGTATTGCCAGGGCAAGACAAGTAACTGCTTTTATTTATAGGCAAACACTTCTTCTTGCACGCATGAGGGAAAAAACAAATGGAAGAGATCTTGTATGATGTGCAGTTACAAGGTTTGCCACCACTTTTCTAACTTTACAAAGTTTGTATACTTTCAAGGAGCCCTTGCGTGTTTTATTTGTTGGTGATGTGTGGAACAAGAGTAAATGGGTAAACAAATAAAATGGACTAAGAGCATCAAGCACTATGCTTTCTGTTGGGTTTTGGAAAAATGTAAGAGTTGCTCTTTTTGTTGCCCAACAAATTGTGGAGGTTTTACAATTGGCTGATGGTGATGAGAAACCCACAATGGGTTATTTTTACTATGCAATGGAGCAAGCAAGAGAAAATAAAAGAAAATTTTAGTGGAAAAGAGAGGGAGTATAACCCATTTTAGACATTTTTGATAGGTGTTGAACTAATATGATGCAACATCCATTGCACCTTGCTGGTGTTTTCCTCAATCCAACCCTTTATTATAAGGCTAAAGCACAAGATGAAGCATCGGTTGGAAAGTTTGAAATGGGCTTTCTAGATTGCATTGAGAGAATGGTCAGTGATATTGAAATTCAAAACAAGATCTCTCATCAATTGGAAGAGTATAAGCACGCCGATAGTGCTTTCTCTAAAGAATTGGCAATCAGGCAACATGAAATGAAGCAACCAAGTAATATAAGCTCTCTTTTCTTGAAACTTATATTTATATTTTATTCCGATTATTTTAAATCTATATTGTCTTAATTCATTTTTTTCTATTTTGTAGTTGATTGGTGGCATAGCTATGGACATTGCACCCCAGACCTTAGGCATATTGCATTACGCATATTAGGTCTTACATGCACTTCTTCTACTTGTGAGCACGACTAGAGCACTTTTGAGCATGTAAGTTCTAAGTAATGGACCTAATGGTTGGTTTTCTGATAAAATTATTTATGAAAGTTAAAATACTAATTTTTATAATTTTTCTTATTTTGTTGTGAATGTAGATTCATACAAAAAAGAGGAATAGGCTTAATCAAAAGAGGCTCAATGATCTTGTATTTGTTCAATACAATCGACACCTCCGAGAAAGATTTACAACAAGGCATGCAAATCAAAAGCAGTTTGACCCTATCTGGTTTGATGATGTAGATGAAACTGGTGAATGGTTGACTGGGAAAGACCCCTCAAATGACTTGGTCTATGAAGGGTGTGATCTTACATGGACTCAAGTTAATGAAGCATTAGGGGCATCTGAAATCCTTGAAGGGTCAAATAGACCAAGGAGAAGTGGACATGGACATGGAAATGCAAGTGCAGGTGCAAGTAGAAGTAGTGGTAGAGGTGGAGGTGGTTGTGGTTGTGAGAGAGGTGAGTCTGGAAGACAAGATAATGGTAAAAATGTTATTTAAGAAGAAGAAGAAGACTCGATGTGGGACAAAAATATGAAAGATAATGAAGATGAAGAAGAAGATATTGATGTTGAAGATGATCATGATGATGACGATGACAATGACAATGATGATAACGAGGATGAAGATGTTGATTATGGTGCTAATGATATTAGTGCATTCAGTGGAGGTGTTGGTGGTTCTTACTTCTTAGACACTCCAATTAATTAGAGAATAGAGAGTTTTCTGTGGAGATGATACATTTAAAGTTTTAAACTTCATATTTATTTTTTTGTGGACTTGTGGAGACGAATGATGATTTATACTTCTTCATTATATGTTATTATGTTTTTTGTAGTTTTTAATGGTTTCATGACTTTCATCTTATTATTTCTTAATTGGCTACTTCCTAGTTCTTAATTGGCTACCAAGCATCAACCATGGTATGTATTTTAATCCTTAAAGGATTGATATTGCATTCTTATGAATTTTTTTTTTATTTTTGTTGTAGTACTTCCATTTGTTAATGGCAAAGTTGATTTCTTATTGATTGATTAATTCTTTTAATTTGTTTTCTTATTGAAGGCAAAGTTGCAGAAAAAAGGACACTCAAGGTCAACACTCAATCATCCAAAAGGTATGGTTTTATGAAACTAAATTTTTAAATTACAAGTTTTTTTTACTTTTTTAGTGTTGCCATGTTAGACTTGTTACTCTCACTTCACTTGCTTGATTGTTTATTTTTTTGATCAGCCACTTGTTTGATTGCTTATTTCTTTTAATTCAAATGTTCATTTTTTAGGTTTTCACATGAAAATTACACTTATATGAAAGATTTTATTAATTATGCTTAGTGTAATGTGTAGCTAGTAAGCAAATATAACTTATAAAATAGTTTAAGTCCTTTAGAAAGTGTAGAAACCTATAAATTTTATATTTATGGATTCCACCGCCTAGGCACCTAGGAGCCTGGGCGCCCTATGGTCGCCTAGTCTCCTTGACAACTATGTTGACATGTTATCTGTTAGTTTAGAAATGGCCATAAGGGGTCCTGAGTTTTCCAAAAGTATTTCAGAGAGGCTAGAACTTTGATCACTAGAGCAAATACATTCTTCAGATTGATTTGTGAATCTCAATTAACCAACCCACATTCCCTTCTCTAGGGGGTTGGGGGGTTAAACCTAAAAAGTTGAGCGAGTTGTTTTTTTGTTTTCAAATTGGCTGGAGAGGGAATTTGGATTAGATGAAATCAAGGCAGCTTTGAAGGACCTAAATGGGGATAAGGCACCAGGCCTGGATGGATTTAATTTTAACCTCATCATAGCTTGTTGGAATCTGTTAGAGGAGGAGTTCTTGTTGATGTTTAAAGAATCTTTTGAGAATAAATCATTGGAGAGAATGGCTAATGATACTTTTATCTCTCTTATCCCAAAAAAGGAAGGTGATGTGGACATTAAAGACTTCAGACCTATAAGTCTGATTTGCAGCCCATACAAACTCTTGGCAAAGGTGTTGTCAAAAAGATTAAGTATGCTACATGAGGTTATGGGAGAGTCACAAATAGCTTTTGTAAAAGTAAGACAGATTCTAGATGGGGTGCTAGTGGCAAGTGAATGCATTGGCTCAAGAATTGAAAGTGGGAGAGCAGGTTTGGTGTCTAAGATTGGCATCAAGAAGGCATATGATCATGTGGAATGGGGTTGTTTGGAGGAGATATATAGGAGGTTAATGGGTTTTGGAGAGAAATGGAAAAGTTGGATGTTTGCATGTGTCTCAACTATTTTTTTCAGTGCTCTTAAATGGGGTTTCCTCACAATTTTTTAAAGTTCATAGGGGTTTGAGGCAAGGAGATCCCATCTCTCCCCTTCTATTCGTGTTAGTTATGGAGATGTTAAATTTATTCTTTTCTAAACTCTAAAGGAGTTCAGGGGAGTTTCATTGAGGGTTTTAAAGTGGGGACAGGTTGCCCTTATATCTCCCATCTGCAATATGCTGATGATACCCTAATTTTCCTTTGATGCTTCAGTGCAGCAGGTCCTAAATTTAAGAGCTTTATTAGCAAATTTTGATCCATTGACAAGTCTGAAAGTGAACTTATTGAAAAGTATTCTCAGTGGAGTTGGTGAGGTGAGAAATGAAATCCTTTCAGATTGTGCTGCAGCATATGAGTCCAGATTAAGGGAGTTGCCTTCTTTCCTATTTGGGTATGCTGGTTGGGGCTAAATCCTCTTCAACCATCATTTGGAAACCAATCATTGAAAGAATAGAGAAGAGGCTGGATAGGTGGAAAGCAAAATATCTTTTGTTGGAAGAATTAGTCTTATTAGAAGTTAAATTCATGGACATACTTATTAAGAGTTACATTTTAGTATAACACATAATGCATATTAATAAGCTTTTTTCTTATATATTTTGATTAGTAGATGGGTGGATTAGTTTTTCTTTGTTTGGGCCCATCTTTCCCACATGTGTTGGCAGTGTAAAACCCATGCTTTCAGCCCACAGGACTTGTTAGTAGGGAAAAAAACAAAATTAAAAGTCCATGCCCATAGGAATTTATTTGCCTTTTATGGATACCAGTTTTTGTTTTGATAGAAGCAGGTGGACATACAAAAGTTATATGGGCCCACAATATTTAAATTTCCATTGATGACACAAGGGGTGTGTGGAGCCACCCACAAGATAAAGTTTTTTGACAAGTCACCTACAAGATAAGGTTTGCAGGGTGCAGCTTTAAAATAAGGTGTAGTTTTATTTAACTGGATGTACTGCTTGATAGAAGAAAGAGGAAGACATGCTATGGTATTGTACAAGCCTAAAAGAAGAAGAGAAGCGAAGGCTTCATCTATGCATAATTGGTAACAGTGAACCTTGCACCAGTGATAAGGCGAATGTGTATAAAACACACAGAAGAAAGGTAATTGAGGGAAGAGTCTTGACAGATTGCAGATTACCAAAATTATTTGAATCAATAATTAGAAAATAAAAATACAAATGCATCACAGGACCCAATAGAAAGGGGATTTAGAAAAAGAAAACAGGAATCTATAAGAATATAGATAGAGAACAAGCCTGGGGGCAAATCCCTGCACTCCATTGTAAAATCTGACAAAGCATCCATGTTTCTCAATTTTGGTGATCCACCCATGTGTAATTAATCCATCAGTAGCATCAGCATATGAACCAAGAATTCCCAACTTTGATTTCACCTGCAAAAGATCTCCGTTAAAATTGACTACACTAACATAAAGAACATGTTTCATAACAAGCATGCCTAAAAATAAAGGCAAACAAAAAACACCACAAAAAAATTCAGAAGTAGACAAAAAGACAATTTCATGTACCCACGAGTTGAAATTCACAGTAGACTAAACAATCAGCATTTCAAGTACCCACAAGTTGAAACAATCAGAAGCAAAATACACCTTTTGTTGATCAGAACCCATGAAGGAAAAATCAAGAAGAAAAACAGTTTATTACAAATAAACTGACACTTTCAGGTATGTCAGACAATAAAGATCATCACTCCATCCTAGAACACGCTAAGTAAAAAGAAGAAAGGTTCAATTGTAGGAAGGACAGAAAAATATCAGAAAATTCGGAGCTGGAGATAACCAGGAGAGCAACAATTGTTCAAATATAGAGGAAGAGTCTTTAAGGTGTTGAAAAACGTTGTACATCTATAATGTGCACATACATAAGTGCCATGGTGCAACCATGAAAATACAACTTCATGAACAATTTACAGACTTCAATAGGTAGATTATTTATATCTTTACACCAGGATACTTGATATTTGAACCCAACCTCCCATCCAATACAATCTATACTAAATTGACTTAGAAACATCAATTCCATGGTGCCATAGTGCAACCATTAAAAACATCAATTCCAAATAGGAGCTAACCCATGAGTACAAATGAAAGAAAGAAAATGCAATTGTATAGTCTACAATGAATCCCAAAGGCATATTTTGCTGCTGGGGTTTAGTCAACAATGAATTTTCTTCATGGTCTACCATTCATCAATCCCAAATAAAACTAAACTAATACAAGGGTAGCCTACCTTCAATATTGTAATTCAAATAATAATATGCTTTGATCATTGTGCACTGTATCTGTACTTGTTAGTGTTGATAGTTTAACTTGAATGTGATTGTTGTTATGCTCCAAGATTTTCATGTGTTTCTGTTTCATCTTTGTTGTACCCACAATTTCTCACCTCACATTAATGAAGTAAGAGCCTACTTATTGCTTTTTACTTTTTATTTTCGTTTGTTTTCTTTTTGGGGCACAGGGGGACCTCACTATAAAAGCAACCCTTGACAATGATCAATGTTCATACCAGTAGTGTTTTAAAAGGCGTGGGAGGCGTACGCCTGGAGGCGAGGCACTCCCAATCCTTTTCTTTCCCTTTATTTTCTTTTCCTTTCCTTTCCTTTTTTTCTTTTTTCTTTTCTTTTCTGTATCTTCATATCAGATGTGCAAGAGGCGTACGCCTCTAGCACGCCTCATGCACATCTGATATGAAAATACAGAAAAAAAAAAGAAAAAAGGAAAAAAAGGAAAGGAAAGGAAAGGAAAAGAAAAGAAAGGGAAAGAAAAGGAAAAGAAAGGAAAGAGAAGAAAATGAGATCCCCCCTTCCTTTTCATCCTTCTCATAACCTACGCCTCCTTGTGTTCGGGAGGCTTACGTCTTGCGTTCTGAATTACGCCTCATGCCTCTAGGTAGTGGAACGCCTCGCGTCACGCCTCCGCGTTTTAAAACACTGGTTCATACTTGCCCTCTAAAGGGTCTAGGGTGCCTTAAAGGAGCTTTCAAGCCATTCAATAGATGCACTGGATTCTTCCAAATATGCAAATTTGTGCAGAGGCATTTTTAGAGTATGCTACAACTGATTGCATGATATGAACATTCATGGCAAAACATATTTAAGGGTGTAAATTTTCATAATTTCCAAATGTGCTTTCTGTAAATTTCAAGTTTTAATGACAAATTTCAAAGTATGTCAAAAATCAGAATCATGTTTTTATTCCAAAACTGTTTCTAGACACCACATGACCTTGACAACTTTGGTAAGTAAACAACCACTGAGCTCTTAAACTGACAGAAAATTATATGATAATACAGAAGAATCAGACAACATACAAGTGTTTTCTTGTGTGTAACAGTGATTCTCTTGGACTTGCAGCCTAGCACACGAAACACTAGCTCAGCTCCAACCTGTACATGGATGTCAGCATAAAAAGTGTTTAGCTTCTGCATTCATGAGTGCTAGCAATATTACCCAAAAAATAATAAATAAGGACAGTAGATTCTATATTATACAATAGAAAAGATCAAATGAATACATATTAAAAGAAATAAACCACAAGAATAGGGGGCTAAGAAATGACCTTGAATTTCTTCCCAGGCTTTGCAATATCAAATTCTGACATATGTGGAAGAGGACAAAGAGCCTTCACACCACTAGAGAACTGCACAATAGCACCAAAGCTCTCAACGGCGATGACCTTTGCCTTCACCACCATACCAGGTTTGACGTCGGAGTGGGTGAATACCGATCCTTCAAAAGCACTAGCCTGAGAAAAGAAAGAAACCCCAGGAGGAGGGAGCAGCAAGCATTAAAAGTTAAAAAAATGACCAAATACTAGATGCCAAAGTAAGTGTGGGATCTAACTTCTAAGCAGCTATCAAGTGACAGTTAAAAAATAATATACCAGGAAGAGAAAAAGGGAAGATAAGAAACTCATAAGGTGCTTGAAATTTGATTGTTAAAACAAATTTCACACTCCACTGCCAAACCCATTGAACAGTGAATTCCACAGTTGGAAACCTCTAATATTCCTATAATATTAGGTGAGTACCATCTAAATAACATCAACGGGAGATGGTTAACACCCTCTGCCGAATACTCTGACAATAACTAACACGTGTGTCTTAACTCTTACCTGAAGTTTAAGTGTGCAAAGTTCACTGTCCATGTATTAAAGAGTAACAAAGCAAACAAGGAGTTAGTTATTGACCCAACATGCAAAACTGCCTACAGTGCAGTCCAAACAAAATTGGCATTCAAATTTTCCACAACAGAACCCAGCCAATTCAAATAAGCTGTGAATATATCAGATCATTGTCCAGAACCAATTAGGTACCCAATCCGGTTGGCCAGATTGCATTTCAGTATGACATTTTATTAAGAACATGCGATATGAGACTCTGACCCAAGCTCAATACAAAACCCAATTTTTAGGATTTGAATATATGTGGGTATCCAATATATTTAACCTGATAAGAATCAGATATGGGTGCATCCCATCAAAATCCAACCCATTGAAAACCCAACCCCTCCACTCAAAACTTCCACAGCAACACTGACACTGTAGTAGGGTTTGTCACACGGCATACCTCATTACAAGTGTGGGTTCGGACCTACAGATATAAGGCAGATTCTGTTTGTCCCAGTGGGTGGCAGGCACCATAAGCACCCTCAGTGTTTGAAAAGCTCAAGGCGCAAAAAAGGCACAGGGGTCAATTTGCGCCTGAGGCACAAGGCGCAAAAATACAAAAAAATATGCTAAAAAATCAAAAAAGTGTCAGAAAATTCAAAAAATGCCAAAAAATCAAAAAAATATTAAACATAATATTAAAAAAATATAAACTTAAATTTCAAAATAATTTTTTAAAAAACCTATTATCTAAAATTAAAACATATAAACATAAGATGTAAAGCATATTCAAATGAGAACTTAAAAATAAAATCAAACATATGAAACATTTTCAAGCATGTAAAACCTCTAATCTCTTTTTTCACTCAATTGCATTACTTCAAGTAGCTAATGTAATGTAAAACATATTACATTCCTGATTCTATGAGCCACCTTTGTGCCACGCCTCTCACGGCGCATACCCTGAAATGCGCCTCGCCTGTGCGCCTAGGCACGCCTTTTAAATCACTGAGCACCCTGTCACTAACTCAGACACTAACTAGGTCTAGCATATAGCACCTTACTTTCCCCGGGTCAAAGACATATTTGAACACCCCCCACCCAATAATAATAAAAATAACACTCACCCAGAAGTTGTGCAACTTGGATTGAAGTTTTCTAAATATTTACCCAATGGGTGCAATCAAAATAAGCACTTTCTAAGCCTAACCAACATCAGCACAAAGAAACAACAATATTCATATCCACAATACACAAAATATATAACTGCAGCTTAAATATATGAGAGCTGAATCCTATGAAGAAAGACATCAAAGTGTTATTTAATACAACCTTTAGGATCCCCATTGCCAATCCCTCTAAATGTCTGAAGCCAAGAACCCGAACACGAACTTGACTCCCTTCCCTGAACTTTTTCTCCAACTTTCGAACCTCTCCATCAGCCACATCAGATATCTAAAACGGAAATTTCAATAATCAAAACCATTATAGCTATTGATCTAAAAGGTAAAATAGAAGGAATTTCAAGGACAAGAAGAGTTCATAGAACAAACATACACTGACATATGCGGGAGTTGATACTGGAATAGAAGGAATTTCAAGCAAGAGGCCAAGACCCCTATCAACTCTAACTACTCGTGAACTATCATAAATATCTCCAGCTTTAACATTCTACAAAACAGGATTAGTCATTAGTCAAAAAAAAGAGCAGCACGAACAAAAAAGAAAATGATCAACTTTTTTTATGAATGAAAGAAAAAGATAATTTTAACAGAACATATAATAGAACAGTAACAATGAGATGCATAGAAGAGAAATTAACATCTGGATCCTATTCCCAATGCATTTTATTAAGAAAAAAAACCTATCCATAATGATGCAAAGCATGTCTTATTCCCCACTCCCTTCAAGTAGAAGTGATCATTTTCAGCGCCTGGAAGTTCTGAGCTTCTGCCTAAGTTTTATTTTTCCACAAGTTTCAGGGACGGGGCGTTGGACCTGGGCCCAACACTTTAGGCTTGGCCTGTCCCACAATAATACTATATAAAAAATTTATTATACTATATTTAGTATATACTAAATATATGTAATAAAAGATTATATTATGTAATATATAATAAATTTTACATATATATAATATTATATTATATATACAAACATTTTATATAAAAATTTTTAACATAATATATTATAAATATTCATGAGTTGACACATGAATCACCTCACATGGGAGAAAATTACTTATTCTCTAGGGTTTCTCCTTGTACATTGGAGAGACAAGCATGTATTGAAAACACATACACTATATTTTGTGTTACAGGCCCAAAGCTAGCCAAGCCCAGCTCAGCTTTGGTCTATTGCAATATTTTTTCATGTATTATATATCATATAATTTAAAATTTTGTTATTTAATGCCTTGGGCCCATTGGCCAGCCCTGCCCAGGGTCTAGGCCAGGCCCAGAACCAACCCATGACCACCCCCATCCTCAAGCCATGCAAAAATGCATATTGAGAAATAGACAACAGACAAGGGTATGAAAGGGTAAATACTCCTATTGGCATGCAACACTTCAATGAAATACAATACCTTACCCGCTTCAAAAAAATAAAGAAAAGACAAAACTCCTTCCTCTCAGCAAACATTTCAAATATAAAAAACAATTTCTTTTTTTGAGCAAAGGTAAAGTTTAATTTTACTAATCAAAAGGTCCTTTGTACAATGAGAAGCTGTACAAAAACAAACCAGAAGGACCTCAAAAAAAAGGCCATCCTCAAAAAAAAATAATTTCTTTTTATAATAAAAAAGAAAAAAGCACCCAAAAATTACATCTCTATAGACTCCATAGTCTCTACATTATGAGACCTTTGTTTCCTTCTCTTGGATCAGCAGCTAGAACATTTTGCATGCATTCTTTCGACCTGCTTCAATTTCAGAGATCTTGACAACTGATTTGGGGACAAAGTTCCTCTCATCCACGTACTCTTTCCCCGCCCACAAAGCAATAGAGTCCATCATATTCACACCAAGAAAAGCATTCCGTGCTTAAGCTGCACACTATACAACAATTGATAATTTGAGATGTAGCAGATTAGCTGAGCCTTCGGCAAGGTGATCACTTGGCATGGAAGTAAAAATCCGTTACAAAACCATCCCCCACCGAGCTAGCAATGAAAAACTAGGCATCAAATTGAAAAATACTGTCCTTTGCCTCACAGAGACCTAGTCAGTCTCTAATATTTAGCACCTTTTTTCCCTTGCAGTTCTATACTTCTATTCAGTAGGTGTGATGCTGTGGGCTCAGAGGCTCAAGGAAGAAGTTTGAGAATAAATAATGAGTTGAAACCCAAAGCATTGGATTGAAGTAATTGGTGTCTTGCCTTGTACTATATTTCAGTATTGGAGTCAACCAAATTGTTCAGGGACATTACAAGTTTGAGATGGTTGACACCACACCACCAAATAACAAAGTTTCAAAGAAACAATCTCTATTCACACATTTTTTTTATCAATAACACTTTCATTAATTCATCAGTAGAAAATTTACAAGTGGAAGACAAACACACTTATCTTCCAAGAGTCACAAAGAGCTTCAAGAAAGGAAAAAAGAAAAAGACACTAACGTTACAGCTTAGCCCAAAACAATGAATCCCTTTCTGCCCCTTGTTTAGCTAAACCATCAACTAGGGAATTAGCCGATCTTTTAATCCAACATGTCTTAACTTCCATCTCCCGCACCAGCCACTTGAATTTCCTCCTCTCATTATTGTACTTCCATAAATCATTTTGATCTTTAGTCAGCCACCCTATCACCACCTTTGAATCCCCTTCAATTATGAGTTTCTTGATGTTCAATTCCTTAGCTTTCCGGACTCCTTCGACTCCTTCCATAACTGCAAAGATCTCAGCTCTAAGGGAGTCACCCACTCCAATTGGGTCTGAGAACATAGCAGAGAWGACCCCATTTTCATCCCTAAAAACACCCCCAATCCCCGATTGTCCCGGGTTTCCCCTACTACACCCATCAAAGTTTAATTTCAAGAATCCACTAGGTGTGGGGGGATCCAAGCCACACTCATTATCATAGCCCTCAGATCTGCTGCTACTCTCTGAGTTTCTGAGAAAATCCTGGAGTTTCTTTCTTCCAACAGTGTTCAACATACTGTAGCCCTTAGTCCTCTCCACATTGTCCTTCCCCTTTTTATCCGCCACCTGAAAAAGGAAGGGGAGAAAAGGCCCTGCAAGTCTGATGGGGGATTCCAGCTGCATCCAAATAAGGAGAAAGCCCAATCCCAAATTGACCTCGCGAAGTGGCAAGACACCAGTAGGTGAAAACCAGTCTCCCCATCCGCTTTACACAGAACACACCACTGAGGTGACAAGCAAGTATTGGGTCTCTTCTTTTGGAGTAGATCACCAGTGTTGATTCTTTCCAGATAGGCTTCCCAACAAAAACTACCAACCCTAGGGGGTTTAGCTCTGCACCAAACCTCACCAAAGGGAAAGGGGGAAGGGTAGGACTGGTGGACTGACTTAAGACTTTGAAGAACGARGCACAAGAGAAAATACCATTGGGGGTAGGTATCCAAATTCTAGAATCCGCCCTAGTGGGGTCTAAGACAATGTTATCAATAAGTGCAATAAGGCTCGAAATACTGTCGAAGTCTGAGTCCCTCAAATCCCTTCTTAGACCCAAGTTCCACCCAATCCCAGAAGTGGAAGAGGACGGGGTGGTGAAAGACGAAATCGACTCTGTTTTCAAATCAGAAAGAGCATACAAAGACGGAAACTGATCCTTTAGAGGGACGCTCCCCACCCAGGTTTGTTCCCAAAACTTTATGGAGTTACCGGAATTCAAGTCATACCTGATATTAGGGAAGAAAACTCGTAGCAGGTCATTCACATATATAGCCTAAGCCTTCTTATAACAAAACTAACAAAGAAATGCTCAACTACACCTTCATGAAAAGTAAAATACAATTTCCCATGTATTTATTAGTGACTACTTCATCAGGAATTCCTCTTTATGCATTCACATGAACATCACCATTTTCCAAGACTAACATGCCTTCAATTCCAAGGACAAGGACTGAGGTTTGGATGCAGGTAAGAGATACAGGTATGGACATTGGTGAAGATACAGGTGTGGATATGGGCACAGGTCAAGCTTAGGCCTGGTATGGGCTTTGTCTTGGGTATGGACATGGGTTATGGGCTTTGACTCAGGTCTAAGTTTGATCAAAATTATGGGCTTGGGCCCTGCCATGGTCCCTCATAAGGGGTTGAGAGTTGAGACATTGAGCTAGGACTTTGATTTTATGGCCTTGAAAAGGAATTTCTACCCATATAGAAGCCCAACTAATGGATCACTCGGCTGCACATTTAGGGCTAGCTTAGGAGCCTGGAATCCATCCTTGCTTGTAGCTAAAATGCTGATTTGTGCTAGCATCATGGTGTTTTCTAATCTAATTAAATGTTTCTTCATCAACAAAAAAAAAAACATTAAAGATCAAATGTAAGATTAGTGTGTGTATAAAACCTTAAGACATGCATCCAAAAATTATCAGAGCCAAGGCACCAGTTTGCTCTTGCATCAAAAGGTGCTTTCTCTTTTATCACATTCTGTAAGTGTTTAGACTTTAATGTTCAGGTCATTTTGAAAATCTAAAGGGGCCTCCACTGCAAATTTTTTATATTGCAGCTCATCAAACACAGGAGCCATCCATATTATCTTCCCCCTTCCAAAAAAAAAAACATCCTTTTTCAGTGTAATAGAAAATTATGGTTCGATTGGTTCAGCAGTCAAAACAACAAACAGTAAAACTTGTAAAAATGGTCCCCAGTAAACTGCAATAACATTGGAATAAGGCTAATAAGCCCATCTGGATCCATTTGAGAGTTCTTACAATCTAGATCTAGAGTGTCATTGACAATCTGAAAATGCTATTTTGGAAGTTAGTATTTATTTGAACAGCCTTAGAACATACCGCCGGAGGAGCCTTGTTACAAAGAAGGTGAGGATTCATTGTTAGACCAACAGCCCTGCTTGATGGATCAATAAATAATATCCGAGCATTAACCTGAACCATTAAAAAGAAATTAATAAACAATGGTATTGATTAATGAAGAATAGAAATTAATAAATAAACAATAGAAACATTACAAAGAAAACTAAAGAAATTAGAAGAGACCATAACTCAACCCATGTTAGTAACAGTGCAACCAGAAAAACCATTTCATACATGGACAATATAGCACCAACAATAAGATACCTGTTGAGCTCGCAATTGCTTGATAGGAGAACAAAAATTTAAAAAAAAAAGAAAAAAACAATCATAAAAACTAAGATATTTGACGCACATTCTACAAGTCACTGGTGTTTGGAAGTATGGAGTTTGATACATATGAAGTCTAATTGGATCTTAATGGAATAAGAGCTTATTTTTATATCTGAACAGTATAAATCCAAAGACTAATTCAAGTACCAAATTGAAGTCCTTGATCAGAGTGGCACTTGCAGTTTTCTAACTTTAACATAGGTATGATGGACATTCTTATCATTATTAATCAGAGTAAAGGAAACATATGAGATGTTACCAAACATATTGTTTATTTATGTTAAAGGAAGCAATAGTATGCACCACAAACAAGTGATAAGTGGTGACCCAATCATTTATTAATCAGAGCAAATTTTCAGATACGAGGGACCTTTCAGAGATGTTACCAGACATATTGAGAGAGGGGTGACCATTTATCTGATTAGTTTCGGACATAATTAGCAATGTTTCAGATTTCCAAACACCACCAAGTGGACAATTCAATAAATTACCTTCTTATTTTGATTGTAGTCATCCTTCCAGTTTGTGGCAGGAAAAGAATTTTGTAAATGAAAAATATCAACCTGCATATCATTAAAATGAGGTCCAACTAAATTAAAAGCTGAAGTAGAAAGACATCACAATCTCAAATCCATCCATTTATCTCCAGCAATTCATATTGCAGCAACATTGCAAAACTTACAGTTCCTGTAAAATATGTAAGGAATGATAGCATAATTCCATTTTCAAGGGTTGACTGTACGCGAGCATTAACCATCATGCCTGGAACTAGAAGATCGAGTGAGATACCCTTAAGATCCTTGATCTGAGGCACATAACAAAAATCCAATATCAAAATAGGAAAAAAAAACATGGCAAATACAAACGACATACAAAGAAAATACATAAACCATGATAAGAGTAAGACTCAATTGATTAAAAAAACATTTGGCATACCACACATTTAGACACCACATCAGTATCAGAACTCAGATAAACAACTTTACGAGACTTATCGATGCTTCTAACAACCCCTTGTACAAGTTGTCCAGAGTTCAGCTTTATCTCACCACCATCTGTAAAAAGCAGTGTTACAAGAAAAGAGAGCAATAATAGTATTCAAGCGTGAAAAGATGTTATAACATACATGAGAATTTTTTTTGAAGAAGAAGAAGAATATTAAGAACAAAAAGGAACTAGACCCTATAGACCATACAAGGCCATTATAATATGCATGCACAAATGGAGAACATTTAATGTGCGAATAATTATCTTGCCTTGAGAATTCTCAAAGCCAAAATCCCAATAACTTTCATGATCGAGAGTGATAAAGCTATAGAGAAATTTAATATAGAAATGTTTAATTTCTTTTTCTTCTTTCAAGTTTTAACAGATGGGACTAACAGCTTACTAAATGTTCATAATCATCTATCTTTTTTTCATAGAAATTCATAATTGCCCATCTGGATCAATCTTTGCGATAAGAGATGCCATAGATGCTACCATGGGATGGTAGGTATAAAAACTTCATGTTCACCATATGTATTGTCAAGCTATTGATACATGCAAATATGAAGTTACACTTCACTGTATGATACATAATATAAATTCTGGCTTAAGTTTGTCGTCACAGAAATACACCACTGAAGAAGGATAACTCAAATTGCTGGAGAAGAAGATAGGCAACAAAAGAATGTAAAATAGAGAACGTTGGAACCAGAAGATAAAATAAAGATAAATCTTGAAAAGGAAAAGTTATTCTCTCCCACCCTAAAGTCACCAGCCCTCATGTCCAATTTTTAAGGCCCCAATGAAAGAGATCAAGAGGTGTAAAGGCCAGAAGAACTCCCTCTAGGATCCCCTAATGCAAAATGGCTTGAGGTACCGCTATCAAATTGATTAGGAATAGTTTCAGTATGCTCCATTGAAGATTACTTCAGGGGCTTCTGGTTGACTTGTTAACTTTGTACTGAGTTTAGAAGTCTGACGCTAAATCCTGTTCCTGTCCTTATAAGGTCGGGATATCATAGGTTCCCCCTGATATTCAGATTAACATAACAGTTATTTTCTTGGAAACCTGTGCCCATTCAATATAGGAGTCTTCAGTCTATCTAGGAGAAGAAACACCATTAGAGCATAGAGCTTAGGAATGATTCAGAGATTAAGAACTCAACAAAGCCTTATCATGGTTTTCAAGCAAGTCCTGTTTTGCTATTTCATCACATATGAAATCAGATAAGCAAGCCTGTTTTGAAATTCCATTATATCATAATGAAAGCAATTTTTGTTTCAGGCAACTACCATTTAGAGGAATTTAGTGGTGAAGCCCCTTGGTGGCTATCCCAAAGCATCAAGACATCAAGGCTGAACATCCTATATAAGCCTAATTGAACATCTCATACAGAATAATGCATTAATGCCTAGATTGTCTAATCATAATGTCAATGTCTTAAGGGAGGAGTATGTTGCCCCCTTTAGTGTTCTAAGGCCATATTTTCCTTTGTGATTTTTCCACCTCACCTCCCCCAAATCAAAACAAAAAACAAAGACAAAAGAAAAGAGGCGATATTGATGCAATGAAACATATACTCCAGGCATTTACCAGCTTCTCTTTTTATCGGCAAAAATCCAGTGAAGGAAGACAACCCAAAATGAAGAATGAAACCATGGTCTTCAATACTTTTCACATATGCTGTCAGCACCTACAATTTGCAAACAGTGAATCAGAAATTTCCAACCATCTTAAGCAAGTTCCTATTAGTAACATCATAAAAGCTAACCTGCATGATAAAGAAGAAAGAAAAAAGTTCTAAATAGTACGAATTAAAGACAAATCATACATCTTAAGCAAGAAGCAGAAGTTCCAAATAGTATGAATAGAACGCAAATCATACATCTTAAGCAAGATGAAAGCATAACCAGTTAAAGATTTTTACCAGAGTAACCACTGATGGTTTTATTTTAAGTCAAGTAGTTTTTGTAGCTGCAAGGCTTTGCTTGCTTACAGTCCATAACCACAAAAATCAATCTCCAGAAAGAAAAAAAAAATTAGACAAACAGACATGTCAGGTTAAAATCTTTTGATACTTTTCATATTTTTTAATTTTTGAATAACTTCTTATTAGGGATGCCAATGGGTCGGGTTTGGTACAGGTTTGCCTCAACCTGAAAATGACCTGAACCAACCTAATCCTGCTAGAGAAAAAATATGCATGGAGGGGTAATATATAAGTGGAGATTTCTGGGCCATGGCTCCCCTTGGGTCCCCCTGGCTCTGCCCCTGTTCGGAATCTAAGCAAAGAAAGCAATGCTCACACACATCATCCGATACTTTTTTTGAAGGATAAAAGAGAAAGAATTTCATTAATTGAAAAAAGAAAGTACAACAGGAAGTTGATAAGAAATCACCTGGAGAACAAACAAACAACCAAAGGCAACCCAAACTAATGACAAGAAAGACTACCAACCACAAACCCCCACAATAAAAGCAATTAAAAATAAACAGAGATCCACTCACAACAAGCACCATTATAGAATCTTCAAGACTAAAAACACAAAGTGAAACTTCAGCGAAAGAATCTGAACCCTTGTCTCTGTAGAGAACACTGATGTGGACCCCACTGATGCAAAACCCTAATCTTGAGGATCCGAAACTTCTTCTGATTCTTCCTGATCACTGGAACTCTCCCAGGCTTCTACAATCTCCTTAGTAGCAGTCGCACACTGCCAGTAACCTTCAAGAATCAGCCGATCCACCTTCTCAGTTGAAAAACTTCCAAACCTAGGAACTTCTCATGTAGTCGGCCTGAATAGACTAGCATAAGAACTCCTAGGTCGGCTCTGATACCAAGTAGTCGATCAAGACTACAATCTGTCTTGAATTAAAAGGAAACAAATACAAATTTGAAGAGGAGAAGAAGAGAAGTACTCGAAGAGGAATTCAGAAGAGAGAGAGAGAGAGGGTCTTGACCACTGCCGACCCACTCTTATGATTTATATAAATGTTTGACTAACTGTAAAAGGGCTGAATTGCCCTTATTGCTTACATGGCAAAAAGAATAAAAGAAAACTAATAATAAAACTGAAATAACTACCAACTAATTCACTATCATAACAAACTGAAATATTACTGCCATACGAACCCATGCCCTAAATCACCCCCATTCTAACTTTCTCCACCTTCTCTGACCATCAATTTCTTTGACCTCTCTTCCTTACTCCTATTTTCAAACTCCTCAAAAGCTTTCCTGCCAAACTCCTCTCCTACCCAGAAAAACAACCCAAGCCCCATACCCACCTCAACATCTCAGTTAACAAGATCTTCAATGGGAACACTTCCTTGCCTCGGCACCTTATCATCTGAAGACAAATCCCAAGTCCTTATCTCAGAATTTGATCCTTTTCATACTTTGGGATTTTTGGCGAACTTCTTATATTCAAAATCTAGGCATGGAAACCAAGTTCTAGCATATAAGGACTACAATGTGGACCATCCTAAACAGCAACAAGCAAATTTAAGGGTGTTAAGAGGTTAGTACAATTCCAACCATTATAGGTAAGAGACCTGGGAGGCTTGAGTAAGCTGTGGTGTGGTGATTGAAAAGGAACCCAAGAAATCATGGACTTCAAAAACTTAATAATATTAAAGGTAGAAAAAGGAGTAAGAGAGATCAGATCAAATTTTAGTATGATGAGACACATGACAACAGATTCCCTCATCTTTCTTTTATTTTATGGATAACTTGATGGTTTTATTCAATTTGTGAATAATATATAGAATATGTATAAAGATGGTTGTACCAAAACACACCCACTACATTCCCTCCAATTAGGATACGGCATTACCCTGTTCCCTACTAGTGATCCCCCAAAATAAATGATCCCAACTGGCTCTTTATCTCACAGAATCAGCCATGCTGCTTGCTATTCTGCTTCATCTTTCTTTCTAGATTTTCAGTTACACCCCGCAAATTAAGAATTTATAGAATATCAATCTACTCATAAAAAAAAATTGGGAAATTTAGAGTTCAGTCCACCTCAGGGATATTTATTAGGTTTTTGGATTTTATTTACCAACAACTCCACCTATGTATGATTCACTACCCCTCGAATTTTGATTCATTCCCCACCTGTTACTGTTCCAACTGTAGTAAAACTTATGGGTGGACTGAACGATAAAAAAACAAAATAATAATAGAAAATGTAATAAATAGATGTTAGCAGCAACTACAAATGGGTAGCTGAACATGGTTTAGATTCTGACATTAAGTAATGCCACTGATTCTCATCTCAACTCAACTCAACTAAGCCTTGCCCACTGATTGAGTGATGGAATTACTTTTACAAAGTCTTTTTTTAAGAATGAAAATAATTTATTAATCCAGAAGTAATAAGGCAATACAGGAAACCCAAAAAGAGGCATGAGCTGTTACCTCTTCTAATAAAGTATTACATCAAATTAAAACAGAAATAGCCCGAAGTAAAATTACAAAGCAGCCCAAAATAAATGTTCCCTTAAAGCCCCCTGCTTAGCTAACCCGTCCGCTAAGGTATTTGCTGATCTTCCCACCCAAAGAGGGGTAACAGTCATGTTTCTTATGAGCCAGTTGATCTTCCTCAATAAATCTCTGTGTCGCCACATAGCTGAAGCTGGTTCTGTCAACCATCCCACAACATTCTTAGAGTCTCCTCCAACTACCAATCGCTGAACTCCTAGTTGTTCTGCAATCTGAATACCTTGTACCACAGTTAAAATCTCAGCTCTATTAGAGTCTCCTATCCCCATGGGTACTGAAAACAAGGCTAAGATGTTGCTCTCCGTATCTCTCAGCACCCCTCCTATCCCCGATGGGCCTGGATTTCCATGGTTGCTTCCATCAAAGTTCAGCTTTACCCATCCTTCAAGCGGAGGGATCCACACTGCAGATTCCTTGTCCTTCCTTGTATGGATGTTAGCCACCTCTATCCAGTTTCTCCAAATATCATCAAAGGAAAAAGTATGAAAGAAGTCCATTGTTCTCAACTAGTGAATGGCCCTAGTCAAGATACAATCCTCAACAGCCTGAATGCTTCTTTCCTTTTCCTTGAACACCCTTGCATTCCTTTCTTCCTAGATTGTCCATAAGGTGGCTGCTCTAATACATCTTCACATCATTTTTCCTTTTTTTGCAGGCCACACAAAAAAGGAAGGATCAAACAGCTGACTTAAGCCTGAGGATAGATTCCACCTGCACCCAAACAAAGAAAAAATCCAACTCCAAATAGCAGTAGAAAAGGAACAAGATATAAGTAAGTGGGAGAATCCTCACCACTAGCCCTGCAAAGTACACACCAGTTAGGGGACAAACACATGAAAGGCTTTTTCTTCTGCAAGCAAACCAAGGTATTAATCTTTCTATAAAACACCTCCCAGCAAAAAATAACAATTTTAGGCAGAACAGGTCTAGACCAAATCTCCTTGGATGGAAAACCCCTTGTGTTATGGGCCCGAGAATAGGATCTCGTCACGGGTCGGTCCACGGGGAAAACCTCTTGTTTTCCCTTGTTCCTCCCTTTTCTTGAGGAACCTATTTTGGCGCCTTAATGGTGATTTGTTCAAGAGATCACCAACTCTCCTCACTCTTTTCTTGACTGAAATTTTCGATGCCCTTATTCAATATTCTCAGCTCCTTAAATAGGAGATTACAAGAGATAAGAGTCCTACTTTT